TGTGTTATTGTTAATGTTCATTGCTATTTTTTTTTTGCTTATGAATTTATTTATTTATTGTTTTGTATTACTGTTGCTATTGCTTATTGTTGTATTGTGGGCTCAGCCTCATGTAAGCCGCATCGAGTCCCTTGGGGAGATGGTAGGTGGGATATAAATAAAGTTTTATTATTATTTATTATTATTTTAATGCTTTTGTGCACGAAACAAAGTTTGTATACATTGGGCCATATCAGAAAGCAAAAATGTCACTATCTCAGCCACCATTTTGCTAGTTCCAACAGACCTCACTACCTCTGAAGATGCTTGCCATAGATGCAGGCGAAACGTCAGGAAAAATGCCTCTAGAACATTGCCATATAGCCCGAAAAAACCCACAAGAACCTAGTGATTCCAGCCATGAAAGCCTTCGACAATACATTTATTATTATTATTGCAAAATTTGAAAAAGTCTGAAATCTGGAAAAAAAAAATCTCGTTCCAATCATTTCTGATCAGCGAGACTCAACCTGTAATACAATGTGCTACTTTGGGAAAACTGCTAGAGGAATAATTACACGACAAAGGTCTTATGTTAAAATACAAGGAATCTCCCGAGAGGCGGAATGGACACCCTTCATGTTCAGCAAATAATTGATGCACCAAACAATGCCATTTACATATGTTCTCAGTAGAGCCGAAACTAAATTAATGAAAAATAAATGTGTTTTATTTTATTTTTTTTAAAAAAATGCCACCTTGCTCCCCCCAAAAAAAGCCCTTTCCTCCTAAGAAGTTGGAGCTGACAGGTGGGAGCTCACCCTGCTCCCCGGAATCGAACCACAGACCTTTCCATACGCAGTCCTGCCGGCAGAAGGGCAGGAATGGACACCCTTCATTTTCAGCAAATAATTGATGCACCAAACAATGCCATTTACATGCGTTCTCAGTAGAGCCGAAACTAAATTAATGAAAAATAAATGTGTTTTATTTATTTTTAAAAAATGCCACCTTGCTCCCCCACAAAAAAAACAAAACACCGACGATTTCACTCTTGCTTTGAAACCCAAAATCTCAAGATCAACAGGTCTATTTTTTGGGCATTCTTTTGTCAAGGACGAATTAGCGAGTGTCGGTCACGTCCTTACTCCGAGGCACTTGTGTGCTTGTTTCATGTCACAGAATGCAAACAGCGAAATCCTTATTATCCTTTCTCTTTTTTTTTTTGAGTAACTTGAGAAGTCTTGAAATGTTATACTCTTTTTTTCAAAAAAAAGATTGTTTAGGATGCCTAGCCTTTCAACTAGACGGTTGTCTCGCACAAACAATACGGATCGCGCTTCTTGTTTGGAGGCAGGGAGGAGAGAGGTACAAAAGCAGATAAATATTTCCAGGGCTGAGTTCACAGATGGCTTGCCTTGGTGTTTAGATCATTGCAGAGGAAGAAGACGGGAGAGAGGAAGAGAAAGAGAGAGAGAACACTTCCTTGTTGTTTAGGTTGCTTAGAGAAATAATTGCCGTTGTTGACAGAGCACTATTAAAAGAAGCTTCTAGGACTGTCAGGCTCCTGTCTGTTTCGATGACTATTCCAGCATTCAGGTCTGCAAAGAAACCCTTCATTGCTAACAAGTGCTCAGTATACATTTAAATTCACATTTATCGAGACATATTTTCCCTTCCGGATGTATATGTGTGAATTTCCGTAAATATTCCACATCTGTGCCGTGCCACCCAGGCTTCTTCTAAATCAGAAAGAGCCATACAACTTTAGCACTGAATTAGAGAAAAATATATATTTAATTCATGAAGATCATCTTATATGTTTTAGAACACTCTTTAAGCCAATTCTTACTCTGTTGAAAAGTGCTTATTAGAGGTAAATTACACATTTTACTACTGGAGCATTAGAGAGGTACCATTAGTGCAAATTTAGAGCACTGCAAAATCCAGCAGATAATGTTCATTTCAAACACAGAAACTACATATATTTTGCACCTCTTTATAACTCGTTTTCCCTTTAATTTTTATTGACTACCCTTTCTCTTAACTATATGTTCTTAACGCGGTGCAATTGTAATGCACTAGGACGATATTAATATTTTATAGAAACGGTATTTATAGCTCTTTATTTGGAAACAATGCAGCAGGTCTGCAGATCTTTGAATCCTTCTGGAATGGTGCCCTCCAAATAATGATAAATTACTTGTGCAGAATGCCATTTGCTAATTATATCCATGATTTACTGCAGAGCAAGACTTAAATCATTCATTTCAGTCTTGCGTAACAGTGCCATAAAAATTTTAGGTTTAAAAATGGTTTCCATGTGTATAATTTAAACAAATTTTAGTGCTATTGTATACAGAAAAACATTGTAGTCATCCATTTGTTACGTACTTTGTCTCCCCTTTCCCCCTTTCTCCCCCGCTTGTACTTTTAATGATCACTGTGCTGGAATAGTTTTGCTTCATTTTCATAATCATAGCTTTTAATTCCACAGCAGTTTTAGCATATTAGGCTAAGGGAAAGATAGCTAACTGTGTGTTTATGGTGTGGCGATCTTGAGTTGCCAATTGAAAGCCATTTAAAGCAAAGTCCTAAAATTATTAATTATATTCTAAGAGGAGGATAACATTAGGAAAAAATAATAATATTTTTACTTTATTTTTATTAATTATTATTTGACACAAACTATATATATATCTAAAAATGCTCTGTGTGTAATGAGTACCCTAAAACAAATGAACCAACGAACGAAATCACACCAAATTTGGCAACAAAACGTCTCAGAACACAAGGAGTGACCATCACTCAAAAAATTAGGGAGTTGTAGTTGCTGGGATTTATAGTTGACCTACAATCAAAGAGCATTCTGATCTCCATCAACAATGGAATTGAAGCAAACTTGGCACACAGAACTCCCATGACCAACAGAAAATACTGGAAGGGTTTGGTGGGCATTGACCTTGAGTTTGGGAGTGGTAGTTCACCTACATCTGGAGACCACTGTGGACTCAAACAATGATGGATCTGGACGAAACTTGGCACGAATACTCAATATGCCCAAGTATGAGCACAGATGGAGTTTGGGGAAATAGACCTTGACATTTGCAAGTTGTAGTTACTGGGATTTATAGTTCACCTACAATCATAGAGCATTCCAACAATGGAATTGGGCCAAACATCCCACATAGAAAATACTGTTTTCTGGTGGTCTTTCTGACCCTTCAGATACCCCCCTGGTGACCCTGCACCCACCCGGGGTCCTGACTTCCCAGGTTGAGAAATGCTGCCTTAAGACCATAAACTCCAACTCCTTCACCAGGGCAAGAAAACATAATCAAAGCCCTCCTGACAAAGGGCCATCCAGCCATTCACACACACTCACACACACACACACACACACGTATATGACATATGCAGTATCATAGATTTGAAAGGGACCCCTAAAGGAGGACAATTATATGTTGCATGTTCCAGAGTAGGCAAACCAGACAATCTCCACATCAAAACTGGCAAAGAAACAGAAAGAAATACTTTTAACCCACAAACATCAAGACATTACATATATTAGAAACCAACACTTTCTCATTACTTTATTTTCCAGATCACCAGACTGGGCCACAGCAACGCCTGGCAGGGAACCGCTAGTCTCATATATAATCAGAAAATATACATTCAAAAATAATATTTATTTATTATTTATTTTCGGTATTTCTACCCTGTCACTTCTCTACCCCCGAAGGGGGACTCAGGGCAGCTTACAATGGGCACCAATATGATGCCACTGCATAACAATTGCAATAATAAAACCACAATTGGACATAAAGCGTAATTAAATGTGTAATTACCTGCCCGAACGGATTCTCCCCTATGAACCATCAAGGTTGTTAAGATCTTCTGGAGGGGCCCTGCTCTCGGTCCCACCACCCTCGCAATCATGTCTGGTGGGGACGAGGGACAGGGCCTTCTCGGTGGTGGCCCCTCGGCTCTGGAACTCTCTCCCACTGGAGATTAGAACTGCCCCTTCTCTCCTGACTTTTAGAAAGCTGGTGAAAACTTGGCTCTGGAATTTAGCATTTGATGAGTGAGTCAATAACCCTTGAACACACGGACAGATGGTGATGAATTGTGATTTCATTCTGACAACTTGGCCTTATGTAATTATGTGATTGTATTTTAATGTATTTTATGTATTATGTATTAGTGTATTATGGGATATGATGTTTTAAACTATTGTGTATGAATCTTTTGTTGTGAACCGGCCTGAGTCCCTCTTCGGAGGTCGAGAAGACCGGTATATAAAAGTTCTAAATAAATAATAATAAATAAATAAAACAATACATAAACAATCATTAAAAACATTAAAACAGTCTCATCAGCCGTATCGCCGTTCCAGTCAATGTCTCTCTAAAGTGCTACTTACATCTACTGTCCAATAGCCTGGTCCCAAAACCATGATTTTAATTTATTTCTGAAAGCCAGGAGGGAGGGAGCCAATCTTACCTCATTTGGGAGTGTGTTCCATAGGTGGAGGGCCACAGCCGAGAAGGCCCTGTCTCTTGTCCCTGCCAGACACATTTGTGCTGTTGATGGTAGCGAGAGCAGGTCCTCCCCAGATGATCTTAGATTACGAAGTGGGACACAAAGGGAGATCCGTTCGGACAGATACACTGGGCCGGAACCGTATAGGGTTTTGTAGGTCAAAACCAGCACTTTGAATTGTGCTCGGAATTGGACGCAGCCAGTGGAGCTGACACAACAGGGGGGTGGTATGTTCCCTGTATGTCGCTCTAGTTAGCAATCTGGCTGCAGCCCGTTGAACTAGTTGAAGTTTCCAAACAGTCTTCAAAGGCAGCCCCATGTAGAGTGCATTGCAGTAATCTATTCGGGATGTAACGAGAGCATTCAGGGTGTAACCAGAGCTATAATAGCTATTTGGGGCTGATTTTAATTTGGGAGGATATGTCTTTTTCTCTCAAGTAAATTTAATTTTACACCTGTTTTCCTTTTGATAATTGCAGGTGAAAAACCTTACAAATGTCCCCACTGTGATTACGCCGGCACTCAATCTGCGTCACTGAAATACCATTTGGAACGACACCACCGGGAAAGGCAGAATGGAGCTGGACCGCTTTCTGGTCAGTCTCAAAGTCAAGACCACAAAGAAGAAGCGTTGAGCAAAGGATCCATGTTCATTAGACCCGAGGTCCTGAGAGGGGCTTTCAAAAGCCTTCCTGGTATTGATTTCCGGAGTGGCATGGGATCTCAACAGTGGTCACCAGGAATGCTTTCCTCGGGAGAGCATCCAGGCCACTCAGTTGGCATGTCTTCAGAAGTTTCTCCTGACAATATGAAAAGTTCTGACTTATCCTCCAAAGGGACACGCTTTTCCGAACTGGGACGAGCTTACCATAGCATGGTTGGAAATGGGGTGAATTTTCAAGGGTCATTGCAAGCTTTTATGGACAATTTTGTGCTCAGTTCCTTGAAGAAAGAAAAAGAAATGAAGGAGAAAGCTCTGTCTGACTGCCTTTCCACAAAGCCTCTAGGTTCAGAGAGTGGTGAGGAGAAAGTCTCCGGCAAGGCGAGGAAAACAGAAAAATCACAATATGAGCCTCTTGATCTCTCCGTGAGACCAGATGCAACTAGTCTTCCAGGTTCATCCATTACAGTCCAAGACAACATCGCTTGGCATGGTTGCTTGTTTTGTTCTTTCACAACATCATCGATGGAGTTGATGGCTCTTCATCTCCAAGCAAATCATTTAGGCAAGGCTAAGCGTAAAGATGGTGTTTTAGGGTCAATTCGAAATGGTAAAGACCAATCTAGAGAGGCCGTGGCTTCAGCAAACAAAGCCAACTTGCTTCCAACTTCCATACAATCCAACAAAGATTCTGCAGTGACCAATTTGATTGGTCAGATGGACCAAGGATCCAAGGAGTCACCAGGTGAACAAAAGACTACTTCTTGGCCTGGCCACATGGATTCCACTTTTTATAATTTTGCAGCAGACTTCTATAAGCAGTTTGGTGTTTATTCTGGGGTGGTAGGAGCACACAATTCTTGCGCCACTAGTGAAACTGAGATCAAAACACCATCTGAAGATGATTCCACCATGTTGCTTTCTGACTCTGTAAATAAAAGTGCTACTGATGACCTGTCAGATATAGCTTCCTCTGAAGACATGGAGTCATCCAAGGAAGAAACCATTGACGATGAGGACATTGAGACGGAACCCGATCTCATGAACAAACCGTTGTCCGGTGTGAACAAAGACGGCGCGGAGAGAGGGGACAGCATACAAGGTGCTGCTTCCAAGGCATCGCAAGGACTAATGTCACCATTGCCACCTTCTGAAAAGCAATGGCACAGCCAGAGCCTGCTTCCTCCCCACGAAGCTGCACCAAGTGCAATGAAACCTGAACAAGATCACAGTCCACATGTTCTAGAGAAGCAAGTAAACATGTTGTCGGTCCTAAGAGCCTACAGCTCTGATGGCTTAGCAGCCTTTAATGGACTTGCAAGTAGCACAGGAAGTAGTGGATGTGTCAAGAGACCTGACTTGTGTGGTAAGTTTTAGAACCCTTCTTTCAGATCATTTCCAGAAAAATATATATATGAATATGCCTAGATGTATTTGTTAGTAAATTCGGCTTATGAGGAAAAAAAAACATGGGGCAGAATTCCAATCTGTTACAAAGCATGGACCTCTGGTGCTTCATATCATTCTCTGTGGCCTTGTTGTGTGGTCCAGGCCATTAAAAATACATCAGATAATTTTGAAAATAGACAAACAATTTGTTTATATTTATGACACATGATTAGAATATCAACTGCTTCATTTTTTTTAACAATCTGATTTGATTTGATTTTTCAACTGATGTGGTAACTTGCAAACTTTTCAGCATTTGAACTGAGGAAAAACACTGGATGTTGTGCCAAGCCTTAGCCTAGCTTGCGTTCTCTGATTTCGTCCTTTGCGTTGAATTAGTGTTCACTGAACATGTTCAACAGTATATCCTTCAAACAAAAGCCCAAGCTATCCCACGTGGAACTCTGTTTTTATAGGGAAATTGAAAATGTATTAATCAGGCAGCAACCTTTCCATGTTTTCAAACACAACATAGTATAATGTTTCAGTTTTCGTACTGTGGTGGTCAAATCCTACTATGGATGATAGTTGCAGATATGAGCAGTGATCTGAGGGTGGGCGAGAAATCAAAGAGTAGTTGATGTGAGTAGGTCCAGTTAATAGTTATCTAAGTGAGGAGTTTCAACATAATGTTCCTATGAGTTTGGCAAGATAGATTTTGCCAAATTGAAACATCTATAGCAGTGTTTCTCAACCTTCCTAATGCCGTGACCCCTTAATACAGTTCTTCATTTTGTGGTGACCCCCAACCATAACATTGGTTTTGTTGCTACTTCATAACAGTCATTTTACTACTAGCTTCTAGTGAGGTACCTCTGAGGATGCTTGCCATAGATGCAGGTGAAACGTCAGGAGAAATGCCTCTAGAACATGGCCATATAGCCCGAAAAAACCCACAAGAACCTAGTGATTCCAGCCATGAAAGCCTTCGACAATACATTTTTACACATTAATCATTTTATGGATTTATTTTCATTCACTGGACCAAACTGGGCACAAATATCCAATACGCCCAAATGTGAATGCTAGTGGGGTTGGGAGAGGATTGATTTTGTATTTTGGGAGTTGTAGTTGCTGGGATTTATAGTTCACCTATAATCAAAGAGCATTCTGAACTCCACCAACAATGGAATTGAACCAAACTTGGCACAAAGAGCTCCCATGAACAACAGAAAACACAGGAAGGGTTTGGTGGGCATTAACCTTGAGTTTGGGAGTTGTAGTTCACCTATATCCAGAGAGCACCGTAGACTCATGCAATTTTTGGTTGTGTCAGGAGCAAGTCGCTTCTGGTGTGAGAGAATTAGCCGCCTGCAAGGACGTTGCCCAGGGGACACCTGGATGATTTGATGTTTTATCATCCTTGTGGGAGGCTTCTCTCATGTCCCCGCATGAGGAGCTGGAGCTGATAGAGGGAGCTCATCCGCCTCTCCCCAGATTCGAACCTGCGACCTGTCGGTCTTCAGTCCTGCCAGCACAGGGGTTTAACCCACTACGTCACTGGGGGCTCCTACTCATGCAATGATGGATCTGGACCAACTTGGCACGAATACTCAAAATGCCCAAATGTGAACACTGGTGGAGTCTGGGAAAAATAGACCTTGACATTTGGGAGTTGTAGTTGCTGGGATTTATAGTTCACCTATAATCAAAGAGCATTCTGAACTCCACCAGCGATGGATTTGAACCAAACTTGGCACAAAGAGCTCCCATGACCAACAGAAAACACTGGAAGGGTTTGGTGGGCATTGACCTTGAGTTTGGGAGTTGTCGTTCACCTATATCCAGAGAGCACTGTAGACCCATGCAATGATGGATCTGGACCAAACTTGGCACGAACACTCAATATGCCCAAATGTGAACACTGGTGGAGTTTGGGAAAAATAGACCTTGACATTTGGGAGTTTTAGTTGCTGAGATTTGTAGTTCATTACAATCAAAAAACATTCTGAACTCCACCAACTTTAGAAATGGCTCAAACTTCCCACATGGAATCACAGAAAAAAAAAATCTGGGTTGTTGTAGGTTTTTCGGGCTATATGGCCATGTTCTAGAGGCATTTTCTCCTGACGTTTCGCCTGCATCTATGGCAAGCATCCTCAGAGGTAGTGAGGTCTGTGGGAACTAGGAAAATGGGTTTATAATTTTCCTACTTCCAACAGACCTCACTACCTCTGAGGATGCTTGCCATAGATGCAGGCGAAACGTCAGGAGAAAATGCCTCTAGAACATGGCCATATAGCCCGGAAAAACCTACAACAACCCAGTGATTCCGGCCATGAAAGCCTTCAACAATACAGAAAATACTGTGTTTTCTGATGGTTTTTAGTGACCCCTCTGACACCCCCTCGCGACCCCCTCAGGGGTCCAGGCCCCCACGTTGAGAAACACTGTTCTAGAAAATGGCCCTATAGCCCAAAAAACCTACAACCACCCAGATTATCCAGTCATTCCAGCTACTTTTGGATATACAGAACAGATGCTAGCAACCATGAGTTTGACATATTTATGTGGGGAATGTTTATGGGACTTTTTGCACTAGCAATGGAAAGCTTAGTTTTGGGGTCATGCTGCCTGTTGTGGGGTAACAATATCACAAACCGTAATGTGGGGCCGTTGCGCTTGGGCATATTTCAGTTTCCATGCATAGCAGAGTACGGAGGTGCAGAAGCTTGAAGTCCAAGTTTGGCTAATTAACCTGGAGAAGGGAAATGTACACTGAGAAGCTTAAACCACAGCATTTCACCGGGGCAAGGAAGGGGAGCAACGCAACGCCCTACCTCTCAACTGTGTCTTTTGCAAATCAAGGCCACCCACGTTGCGCAGCTCAGAAATATGCTGGGGTGTTTATTCAAAGAAAGAATACGTGGCAACGTTGATTTACTTAATTGGAGCTTATTCCGTCAAGGCAGAGGTGTATTCTGCCAGAACTAAAAATTAAACCAAAATAAATGTTGGGAGTACATTTCATAGAATAGAGCCCCCCCCCCCCCCCACGTTCCTGCATCTTAATTTTCTAATTAGGTGAAAGATGTGGTGGTGAAGGGAGAAAAATGGTGCAGCAACCATTATGATACACAAGCAGATACATACCACCATCCACCAAGAATCCTGATAATATAGTGTTCTAAACTGCCACGCACTATACAATTGTATGTTTCACCTTTGGCAATTGAAGACTTACTTACTTACTTACTTAGGCAATGCCTCGTTATCCGAGTAGGATTGTCTTCCAAGATCGGTGTACTGGCAGTGGGTACATAAGTGACTGTGGAGATCTATTCTTGACCTGCATGTTCTCTGTAGGGAGGGCATCAGTTTCCAGGTGGAAAGTTGTCCTGGTCGGAGTTGAATTGATGCTCCTTCCACATGGCACGTTTCTCTCTTTCGCCCTCCATTTGTGCCTCTTCAAATTCTGCAGCACTGCTGGTCACAGCTGACCTCCAGCTGGCGCGCTCAAGGGCCAGGGCTTCCACTTCTCAGTGTCTATGCCAGAGTTTTTAAGGTTGACTTTGTCCGTGACCTACAAGTTCTCCCTTCTGCAGTGAGGGCATTGGTTTCCAGGTGGAAGGCGGTCCTGGTTGAAGTTGGCATGACACGCCTTCCTCTTGGCGCGTTTCTCTCTTTCGCCCTCCATTTGTGCCTCTTCAAATTCTACAGCATTGCTGGTCACAGCTGACCTCCAGCTGGCACGCTCAAGGGCCAGGGCTTCCACTTCTCTGTGTCTATGCCAGAGTTTTTAAGGTTGACTTTATCCTTGACCTACAAGTTCTCCCTTCTGCAGTGAGGGCATTGGTTTCCAGGTGGAAGGCGGTCCCGGTTGAAGTTGGCATGACACGCCTTCCTCTTGGCTCATTTCTCTCTTTCACCCTCCATTCGTGCCTCTTCAAATTCTGCAGCACTGCTGGTCACAGTTGACCTCCATCTGGAGCGCTCAAGGGCCAGGGCTTCCCACTTCTCGGTGTCTATACCAGAGTTTTGAGCCCATCTTTAAATCTCTTTTCCTGCCCACCAACATTCCATTTTCCGTTCTTGAGTATGGAGTAGAGCAACTGCTTTGGGAGATGGTGGTCGGGCATTTGGACAACGTGGCCATTCCAGTGTAGTTGATGGCGGAGGACCATCACGTCAATGCTGGTGGTTTTTGCTTTTTCCAGTATGCTGACATTTGTCCGCTTGTCTTCCCAAGAGATTTGAGGATTTTTCAGAGGCAGCGCTGATGGAATCGTTCCAGGAGTTGCATGTGACTTCTGTAGATAGTCCATGTTTCGCAGATGTATAGCAGGGTTGGGAGGACAATAGCTTTATAAACAAGCACCTTGGTCTCCCTATGGATGTCATGGTCCTCAAATACTCTCTGCTTCATTTGGAAAAATGCTGCACTCACAGAGCTCAGGCAGTGTTGAATTTCAGTGTCAATGTTGATGTCTGTAGACAGTCCACGTTTCGCAGGCGTATAGCAGGGTTGGGAGGACAATAGCTTTATAAACAAGCACCTTGGTATCCCTATGGATGTCCCGGTCCTCAAACACTTTCTGCTTCATTTGGAAAAATGCTGCACTCACAGAGCTCAGGCGGTTTTGCAATTCAGTGACAATGTTGACTTTTGTGGAGAGGTGGCTGCCAAGGTCATGGAAATGGTCAATATTTTCAGACAGCTTTTGCAGTGATATCATACCCACTCCTTTCTGTCCCATTCGAAGATATTTTTGGTAATTTTCATATAGGCACATACTAATGCAATGCTAATTATGTAGCAATCGAAAAAATCAGCAGCTGAAGAAAATGTTCTTTATAGATACTTTTTAAGTTCCATTTCTTAATTGCTTAATGTGACAAACTCAAATATATTCGTAAATCCACCTAAAGCATATGCTATTGTACAAACGCAATGGCCAAATGGTTGACAGTCGGAAC